AGCAGGATACTTAATGCATTAGCTATAGCACTGCACGGGTTGATACACACAATGCCTAGTATCCATCGTTTACGGCTATGACTACTAGGGTATCTAATCCCATTCGCCCTCCTAACTTTCGTCTCTCAGTGTCAGTATTAGCCCAACAGAATGCTTTCGCCGTTGGTGTTCTTTCCGATCTTTACGTATTTCGCCGCTCCATTTGAAATTCCTTTACCCCTACTGTACTCCAGCTTGGTAGTTTCCACTGTTTGTCCAGGATTGAGCTATGAGATGTGACGACGGAATTAAAAAGCCACCTACAGATGCTTTACATCCAATCATTCCGAATAACGTTTGTATCCTCTGTATTATCGCGGCTGCTGGCACAGAGTTAGCTGATGGTTATTCCCCGGATACCATCATTGCTTCTTCTTTGGGAAAAGAAGTTCATGACCGGTGGGCCTTCTACCTCCACACATCATTGCTCCATCAAGCTTTTGCCCATTGCCGAAAATTCCCCACTGCGGCCTTCTGTAGGAGTCTGGGCCGTGTCTCAGTCCCAATGTGGCTGATCATCCTCTCAGACCAGTTACTGATCATCGTCTTGATAAGGTATTATCTCACCAACTAGCTAATCAGACGCGAGTCCCTCCTCGGACGGATTCCTCCTTTTGCTCCTCAGTCTACGGGGCATTTGCAGCCATTTCCAGCTTTGTGTTATTCATCTGTTCGCCACTGGAAACATCACTTCCCGTTCGATTTGCATGTGTTAAACATGCCGCCAACGTTCATCCTGAGCCAGGATCAAACTCTCTATGAGATTCATAGTTGCATTACTTATAGCTCTCTTGTTCGTAAAAACGGATTCGAAATTATTTTTCATTCCAATGCATAACTTATATCCATGCGTTTCATATTCACCTGACCTAGAAATATAGCCATCTCTACCCCTTCACGTTAATCCCATGAGACTCTTATCCATTATTATTCGATCACGGCGGGAGAGCAAGTCAAAATAAAAAAAATTCACATGCATTGGGTTTAGGGATAATCAGGCTCGAATTGATGACTTCCATCATGTTAAGGTGACACTTTACCGCTGAGTTATATCCCTTCCTTCGTCAAGAAATAGAACTGACTAATCCTAAGGTAAAAAGTCGAGAAACTCAAGGCTACTTTTCTTGAACAACTTGGAGCCGGACTTTTCTTTTACACTATTACGAATATGAAATGAAAATAATGAGAAAAGTTAGATTCAATTGTCAACTACTTCTAGTGGAAATATGATTGGCTACGAATTTGAGGAATAGCACATGGTTACCTCTGCAAACATACTGCTGTCTCCATCATCATCGATCCTGGCCGGCTTAGATTTTGCTATATTTCTCTTTAACCCCGACACAGCCTGAAAGCAGAGTAGTATACATCTCAAATCTAATAAATTTATGATGTCAGGTTGACAAAAAATCAGTTTGTCATCAGCTAAAAACAAATGAGAGACATCAATGGAATTATTTTTTTTGCCCACCGAAACACTCTTCAACAACCGTAACTCCTTAGTCTTACAAATTAGACCATTTAAAGCTTCCATGATAAAGATAAATAATAGAGAGGATAATGGGTCACCTTGTCTAAGTCCCCTGGAGGCAGTAAAAAATTCATAAGGTCTACCATTAACAAGAACCTGCAAATGTAGTGGACATACAATATTTCATTTCGAGCCAAAACCCATTCTGTTCAGTATGTGATCGACGAAATGCCAGTAGGCCTTTTCCATATCGAGTCTACAGAATAAACCATTTTTTTTTCCCTGAAATCAAATCATCTGCCACCTCATTTGCAGCCATCACAATCTCCAAAATTTGATGCCCTTCTACAAATGCATGCTGACAATCCCCAATTACCTCTCCAAGAATCCTAGAGAGTTTTTTGGCCAAAACTTTAATAATGAGTTTGTAAATACTACCCACTAGACTTATTGGCCTCAAGTCATTAAACTCTTTAGCACCTTTCTTTCTCGGTATAAGAGACAGGAAAGTGGCGTTTAGAGATTTAACAAAATTTCCAGAATTGTGAGATTCGCTAAACAACTCGATTACATCATCTTTTATCAAATATCAAAATTCTTGCAAGAATTTCATTGTGAACCATTCGAACCCGGTGCTTTATTGCCATCTCAGATTTTCAGGCATCACTAACTTCCTCCTTTGTAAAACAGCTTCTAATGACTGATGCTGCTTTGAAATTCTGTTAACTGTAGACCCCAGTTAGACTCAATTAATTCTCTTGATGGCAACTTGGAGAAAACATTGGGAGCTTCCCATTATCTTACCGAATTCATAACTCCCCCAA